GACGAGGGACGCGAGGGTGGGAGACGAGCCCGAACTTGGGTCCCTTCAAAGTTCCCTGCCCGAGGAAGCCGCCCTCCGCGCCCGCAGCCGCCGCCCCACTCCGCTCCTCTCCTCTGGTTGCAGATGTCGGGGGTGCTGGTTATCGCTGCCTGGTGCTTTCTGCAAGTGGAGAGCCGGCATCCTGAAATCATCACGAGTAACAGCGATCATGGTAATTTCCTGGACAACGACAAATGGCTGAGCACCGTTTCGCAGTATGATAAAGACAAGTATTGGAACAAATTCCGGGATGTAAGTACTGCTTCGTTTACCGCACGCTTCTGGTCTGTTTCGTTTGAGCGTTGCAGCCTTTCGGTGAGGGGCTGCTGGCAGTTAGAGGATGAGGGTAGGAGATGCAGCTCGGGCTACCGGTTGCTGGTTGTATGAAGGATGCTCAGAGCTGTTCGGAAGCTGGACAGACAGTCCTGGCTTTCTTGATTGCCTCATCGATCGGGACAGCTTGGGTTTGATGGCAGTCTCACTGAAAGCAGACGGTCTTCAGTTTTCCTTTGGGGAGGGGCTTTGAGTGAAGTTTGGTGCTTAAGAGGCTAGTTAAGTGTGAAATGATGACTGTGTGTGTAAAAGAAGGGAATATTTACCAGTTCAAGCCACAAGGTGGTAAACAGTGAAGCTTTTTTTTTTTTTTTGCCTGCAGATTTGGTGGAAAAATTTATTGTTAATTTTGATCATGGAGATCTCTAATGCTGGAATAGGGTTGGAGGAAGCAATGCTTTGACTTGGGTCAAAGTCTGAAAAACAGAAGTAACTTCAAGATGTGTTATGACACGTATCTGTACAAAGCAAATCACTTTCTTAAGCTTAAAATTAGTTATTGAATTCCTCTACTTTGAATACAGTTGTGTGTGTTAAGTCAATGGCTGGAGAAAGGGAAATGCAACATTACAGTAAATGTAACATTTATGGAGCTCCTTTTGCTTCTGCTGTCTGTATGGTGAAAAAGCTTTCTTGGAGCACATGCAGAAACCCAGCTTCAGCCTGCCCAGGCTGGATACGGGAAACGTTACTGTTGATGATGAGCACATCGAGGCTAAACGTTCTTTATTGCATGGGATTTGTGCGCTGTGGCTGCAGCGTGGCTCTAGGAAAAAGAAGAGTAGAGCTGGCTAGTGGTTCTGCTAGTATTACGAATTTTTGTTTGTTTGTTTGTTTAGGAAGCTCTGGTGCTTTATAATACATTAATGAGTTAAACATTTGATGCTATGCATTGGAATCTGTGCTCTGAACACTGTATCTTACTTTGCAAAGGGGAAGTCAAAGTATTACAGCTAAATGTGATCTGTCTCTGCCTAGCTTGTTCTCTCTGTGTTTTTCTATAGTTGTGGTCATCTCTGTGTCTCAGAAATCACGCTGCTCTGAACCTCAGTGTGACGAAGTATGGTGTTAACAATGGCATCAACAGATGTGTCAATGTATATTTGTTTGCAGTCACTGCGATGACATCCAGCTACTGGGACTGTCGAAGTTCTCATTTATTAGGTGTCTGGAAAAGCCTATGCTTGTGCAGTAACTAGTATTTTATTAAGGGGATTCAACAGTTAATAGGGATTCACAGATTTTTACCAGGCTCCAAGAGAATCTTTGTTAGTAACTGGTTTATTCTCCTGGGGAATGCGGGTTTAGGATTTCCGTTGTTAATTTCTCCATCCAACTTGTGAGAATTGGGCAGCATTTGAAAATGGTAAATTGAATGAACGACTGACAAATGAATCTGAAAACACTTTAAAGTAGGCTCAGATGTATACCAAGGGACATCTTTCAACAGTCTCTTTCTAAATTGAGACCTTGTATTAATTGCACTTCTTGAGCTTAAACCCTCTTAGCCAGTCCTCTGCCAAGCAAAAGCAAATAGTATAAAGTTAATGCAAAGTTTAGGTATCTTTCTACCCAGCTGTCTCAATGTTTCTGTTGAATTACTTCAAAACTAGCATGTTATGAATGTGTATGATTTTCCATTAAACCTTTTATGGGGCAAATAGAGTACTAATCATCTCCTACTAAGCTTTTTCAAAAAAAATTGTGTAATTAAACTCTTAATAACTTATCTTCAACCAAAGTGATTTACTGCATCGTGATCTTCTGTGAGAGGTTCTGTGTCAACAGTTGAAGGAGGCATGAACAGGTAGAGTTGCTGCCAACATAGTAGGTGTAGAGACAGCAAACTTCTTGCATGCAGAGATGTCATTAGAAGAAATCTGGTCCTTGCTCTATGGCTGTGTTGTCAGTGGTAGATTGTTAAATCATTTGTGAAAAAACTGCCTGGTGAGATGGAGCCTAACAGTACTACCTGCTGTGTATGGCATAGGTCAGCATTTCAGTCATAATTCTTGAACTGTTGTTAAAATATCTTCACCTCTTCCCCTTGCTCCCAAACTGTAACTATATACATACATATATATATATATACACACACACATCATTATTAGATGAGGTTCTCAATGTGAGCTTTGTACAAGAGGCTGGAGTATAGAAGTGGTGTTTCAGTTAAAACCTTCTTGGGTCTGACACTACAACTACCAATCACTACAGCAGAAGGCCTAGTTCATACTCTGTAAATTAGCAGAAGAAAGGTTGCAGTCATTATCATAATTGCCTTTAGTTGCTTCCTGAATTTTGTGTTATGTTCTATAAGTAAACTCACTCAAATGTTTGCCTAACTGTGTCCTTATGTACAGTAGGAGAAACCCTGCACGTATGGAGCTGAGATTTGATTGTTTTGGGTATGGTCTCTTTAAACTCTGTACGAGTATGCAGCACAAACATCTGTGCACACATACGTGCATATAAATCTGCCATAATGTTGCTGTACTGGGTGTTTTTTTCACAGATGATATATAATTGAATATAAATTTTTAAATTGGGCTTCCTTCTTGTTTTTCAGTTCTTCTTTTCAAAATCAAATGGTTGGTCAGGCTTATAGAGCTATGGTCCTGTATGGCCAGATTTGAGAAGACAGCTATTGATTGGTTTTTTAGTATGACCCGTATTTCTTTTGGGGCAATGGTAGTTGCACTTAATGGCCCAGCAGTCATTACCATTCTGTGAAAAGAGAGCACAGAAGTACACCTCATTTGATGTCTGCATTACATCCACATAATCAGGCTACATTTTTAAGTATGACTGAATTTAATAGTGTGAAATGATGACCTGTCAACATTTTCAAAAGACCTCAAGATCTGGTTAAAACAATACTTTACAATGCAATCTCTTCACATGATTTTAACACAATTTGTAGAATATTCAAGTGCTCCATTTTTATAAGCAAGCGGACCCTGTAGATGAATAGTAAGACCAAAGTAACTGATCTGTTGTGAAGCACATGCTGTTGAAAAGCTTGTATACTGTCCAGCTGTCCAGTATCAATAATGGATAGCTTTCAGTGTAGTCTGAACTTGATTTTCCTGTCCAGCTTCCACCCCTTTTCCCCCTTCTGCCTTGAGCTTTCTGTGTGACCGATGAGAAAATGTTAGCTCTGTCTTAAGTCCCATTTTACAGCTATATAGTATTTCTCTTCTTCACAACTGTGTGTTGAAGCTGTAGAAAAGAAAGGACAGAGCTCAGGATCTGTGGTAATATGGTTTATTATTCACCTGATCTGTATACTGAATGTGGCTTGATACATACTTAAGAAACTGACTAGGTGTTGTTTAGTGAGTATGTAAAAAATAAAAACCGAATCAATATAATTATTACTAGAAAAAGAAAGAAGTAACCAAGCTAGAGTCTGTAGGAATGAACTGCAGCTTTGGACAGATTAGATGTTTGGAAAAGCAGCCATGGGGGATACGAGAGTCAAATTAGACCTTTTGATATTATGAAAAAACAAATGTTAAAGCCTCGATCTTTCAGTCAAATCTGTTGAGAGAGATCCTTTGGCTTAAGAGGAGCTCGAGCGCAAATTCAACACCTGAGTGTGAAGTGAATTCTTATGAGTCTTAGAAAGCATTTATTATGTGACTAGCCATACATATTATTGTAATAGGTCACACCGCAGCATCTCATTGTGTTCATAGAGGCTTGGCACAGAAGGCGTAATGTGTCCTCTTAGTGTTAGTCCTGTCTTTAATCAAAAGGATATGAACAGACTAATTCTATTACTTCTGCTTGGAGTTATGTCTATTACATTATTAATGCTTATATATAAAAAGGTAATAAGTTCAACTAGCAATGGATTAAACTGCAAAAAGGAAGAAAAAAGTTAAATGAACTTAGAGGGTCTGGTATAAACCATACAAGGAATTTCTGTGAAGCTGAAAGCCAAGAATCTTGGCATGAACTCTGATTTCAGTGCATGTTTATGCATGGCAGGCTGCCAGACCATGTTCTAAGCATTAACTAAGCGGTTTCTCTAAATTTTATTGCTTACAGAGTTTCAGTTCAAGCTATCATGTTAAAACCCCCATGCATTATATGCTTGCAGGTGCTTTGAGACTCTGCATGCCTAAGAAGCAAGGCATGAAATGTCATCATCTGTGTGTATATATTTCTCAAACTAACTGTGGATAAATAATCATGTATAACTATCAGCAGCATGAATAGTTATATATAAAGAGATTAGATTAGATACAAGATTTCCCAGGTTGGTCATAGACCACCATCTCGAGATATGATCCACTGAAGAGACAATTTTGATGGTTATTCATGTACGTCACCTTTCTGAGGTTGGGAGTTCCTCCTCACATCTGTTCAGAAGTGCAGTGTTAGGTGATAAACCAAATACAGGGCTAGGAACTGGGGGACCTGTGTTATTCCAGCTTTGCCACTGATGAACTGTTGGACTTTGGGCTGGCTCTTCACACTTCTGCACTGCTTTTCTCCTTGTTGTACTTGGCTTTCTCTGATTTGTTTAGCCCAAAATTAAAGTGTGGCAGTGAAACTTGATAGCAGAGAGTTGGAAAACATGACCAATACTAAGAAGGTTTGGAATGCCAAGCAGGCAGGATTGGAAGACCTTGAGAACTCAAGTAATAGAAATGAAATGAAATTTAAAAGTACAAAGTAGAAGGTCATGGAATGGAGAGCTAGCACAAATTTATTCTGGGTCCTGCCAGCTCAGCTTCAAATAGATGAGAGGGAAAACCTGTGTACTTTTATTGATTTGCAGAGTTATTCTAAGTAGCAAAAGTAATGCTACTCTGAGGAAAGCAAATATATTGTAGGAATGCATAAAATGAAAGATTTCTGGTTCTGTTGAAGAGAAGAAATTGTACAATGTGTAGGAGATAATATTTCATTGGGAATATTGTGAGGACTTCTGATCAATGAAATTCAAGAAAGACAAGTTTTTATGGAGTTGGTGAGCCAAAGGCCTTCCAGCATCATAGTGGAAAAGAGTCTGTTTTAAAATTATATACTATAATATAATAATA